ATAACACAGAGTCTATCACACCACCACATAACACAGTCCATCACAAACACCACATAACACATAGTCCATCACACCACCACATAACAGAGTCTATCACAACACCACATAACACATAGTCCATCACAACATTACATAAAACAGAGTCCATCACAACACCACATAACACATAGTTCATCACAACACCACATAACACAGAGTCTATCACAACACCACATAACACATAGTCCATCACAACATTACATAAACAGAGTCCATCACAACACCACATAACACATAGTTCATCACAACACCACATAACACAGAGTCTATCACACCACCACATAACACATAGTCCATCATAACACCACATAACACATAGTCCATCACAACATTACATAAAACAGAGTCTATCACAATACCACATAACACAGTCCATCACAACAGCACATAACACATAGTCCATCACAACACCACATAACACATAGATATTTGGTATGTCCATCACAGCACCACCTAACACAGAGTCCATCACAACACCACATAACACATAGTTCATCACAACACCACATAACACAGAGTCTATCACAACACCACATAACACAGAGTCCATCACAACACCACATAACACATAGTCCATCACACCACATAACGCATAGTTAATAACACAGAGTCCATCATAACACCACATAACACATAGTCCATCACACCACATAATGCATAGTTAATAACACAGAGTCCATCACAACACCACATAACACAGAGTCCATCACAACACCACATAACGCATAGTCCATCACAACACCACATAACACAGAGTATGTGTCAATGGGAAAAAGAATATATTTAAGTATATATCTAAACATATATGGAAAAACATATATTTGAATGTTTCTCTATCTAGAAATTATACTTAACAATAAATAAAGAATCTACTTCAAGTTTCTACAAGTGAACAATGAAAGAATGTACTTACCGTATTTTCCTGGAATGAAAACAATAACTATGTATATAACTAAAACACTATACTGAACAATGAATTTATGTAGAGAGACAACTATTATCTGCCTGTAAATAATGTAGTAATTCAACACACAAAGCTTGGGTGGGGGTCAAAGTGTGCATGCCCCAACCTTGTACAGTAACACGATATTATGAATATGATGTTAGAGTAGAGAAAATACCGAATACAATATACCGGGATACTGAAAAACACCTTGGACATGCATTTAGGAGGCTGTAGAGGTTATGTAAATACAAGTTGTAAACTGTACAATGGGAAATGGATTTGTGGTTGTAAACTGTACAATGGGAAATGGATTTGTAAATACAAGTTGTACAATGGGAAATGGATTTGTAAATACAAGTTGTACAAT